CCCAACTTTCTGAACTTACTAACCCAATTTTTATATCTGCTGAAGTCTCCGCTCACTTGTAGGGCAATTTTGGGGTCTCTTTGACGCCATGTATGAAAGATTGAACTTTTCAGAAAAAAATGGTCAGAGCACTAATTCCCTTTGTACTCGTATGTATAGACGAAAGCAAGACATTTGTAGAATGAAATTAGGTTAAATACGGATTTCGTTAGACAAAACTTTGGCATTGGTGCAGGTCAATGCTTTCGAACCTGGGCTGTATGACCCATTTTGTGTGAAATGTGTTGTTACCCCCCGCTTGGAAATACATTAAGGTGGGTGGTAAGCTAATGTCAGCAAACGGGGGCACTGGCTACAGGAAGGTTGAGAAGCACTGGTGTAGAGATGTCCTTTTTCTTTCGTCTTGTCCATCTCTAAATGAACATCCCTGTCTCTATCTTGTGCTAAGGCTATTGCTGTTCGCCGCAAGTCCTCCGGGCTCCTGCAGTTTGGGGCCTGCAGCCGAGGGCTGGGCCAATATATTTCTTTCTAGGACTGGTGCAAATGAAAATTGTTTCCTTTATGACTGTCCAATTTTTTTTTTGATGTTGTTGTTCTTGTTTTTGGACGGGCAAGAATCTTGCAACGCTCTAAAAATTGTGTTTGTCCGCGTGAAGGGACACAGACATAATGTGGGTGCTTGGCAGATGCTCTGATTTGGTTTGCTTCTTCTTTCCTATCAAACGTCTATCATCTTTATCTCTCCGCCTCTTTTGTGTTTGTTACTCCTTTATAACACCTCTAATCTTCGGCACTTATATGACCTTATTGTGTTGGTACGTGTCGTAAAACACTTACTCAAACTAAAATATAGACATACTACTGCTAATTTATTTTAAGTGGTGGTAGTTAAAAACAGATGATAAAGAAAGAAATAAGACCTATTTCTGATATTTATGTAGAATATGGGGGTTGCGGGAAAGGGGGGGGGGGAGAAAATGTTGGCTTCATCATTAATATCGAGCCGGACTACTGTGCTGATTGCCTTGGTATGGATCTCCTCCTGTTGGACTGTCAAGTGCTATACTAGTAATCTAGTGAACTTGTGTATAATTTTTTGCTTTTGTTTAAAGAGAAGCACATAATCACTTGAACGGCCATTCAGCACTGGTGAAGAGTAAGACATACTAACTAATGTAAAAGAGGGTAATGGAAAGAAAGTATGACCGACTTTCCTCCAACCGCCTGCGTTTTGGGGAGATTTGACCAGGGTTGAATGGCTGGCCGAGGGAACTGACGAAAAGTCATGTCATGTTAATTTCAACTGACGGTGATCTGAGGTACTTCTTGCCAAAATGTGCGATGTTGCCCACAAGTAGGCAAATTGGTATTTTTTGGTTGGCAGTGAAGATAATAAAGGTACTGATTATTTAATACTCCGCTTATAAATACGTCTAAGTGGTCAGTACAAAAATGCTAACCTTATAATAAAAGGTGACAAGAGTTGCCAGACCAGACCATCAATTATTTATTTATAGAGGGACCAGCCATCCATGTCCAGGTGCTGTTTTAGCCTCTTATTAGACAAGAGTTGCCATTGTATGTAATAAGGCTGACTAACGCTAATCTAGGGGACACGTTGTTATTTTTTAACCTTCACTTTTTGACCGAAAGTAAAACTGAGAGCGTCACTGGTGGGTCCTACTTCTTCATTTTGCCTCTATTGTTTCTGTTTGTCGGTCTTTCTTACGTTGTGGGTGGTAGGCGGGTGCTCTGGTGTGGTTTTCTTCTTCTTTCCCATAAAAAAACTATCGTCCTTCTCTCTCCTCTGTTTTTTGTGTTTGGTACTCTCTTGTGACACCTCTAATCTTCGGCACTTATATGACCTTTATTGTGTTGCAAAAACTGTAAAACTTTTACTAAAAATGAATCTTTCTTACTTTTTCTCAGCACTAAAATTTATGGCAGTTATTTTGTCATTGCGCTTCTCTTTTCTCAAACAAACAAACCAAACTAAAATAGGACAATGAGGGTTTCGCGATAATAGAGGCGCGGGCGTAAGGTGCGGGCATTTCTGGAGACTACGGAGAGAGAGAGA